CAAGCCAGTGGATCTTAGCTTGTTGGGCTCTGTGGGGATGGGACCCACCAAGCCAGGCCACTTGGCTTCCTGGCTTCAGTACCCTTTCCAGGGGAGTGAACGGTTCTGTCTCACTGGCATTTCAGGTGCTACTGGGGGATGGAGAAAAAAAACGTGTGCCTAGCTCAGTATCTGCCCAAATGGCTGCCCAGTGTTGTGTTGGAAGCCTAGGGCCCTGGTGGTATAGGCAGCAGAGGGAATCTCCTGTTCTACAGGTTATGAGACCATGGGAAAAGCACAGTATCTGGGCTGGAGTGTACAATACAGTTCCTAATGGTTTCTCTTGGCTAGAAGAGGGTGTTCACCACCCCCTTGTGCTTCTTGGGTCAAGTGATGCCCCACCTTGCTTTGGCTTGCCATCCTTGGGCTGCACCTACTGTCCAATCAGTCCCAATGAAATGAACTGGGTACCCAATTTGGAAATGCAGAAATCCACCTGCCTTCTGTGTCGATCTTGCTGGGAGCTGTCCCTATGCAACCATCTTCCCAGCAATCAACCAAAAATACCATTTTTATCTTCTTTGAATCACTCCTAGTATTCACAAATGCTAAGAACTGTTCTCCACAAATTGCTCTATGGATCCCTAAGGTTTTGTAGAGCTGACTTAGGTATCTCACCTGTGATGAGATGACTGGGCACTCAGTGCCAAATCTTGGGATTACCATCCACATCTTTCCCTGCAGCTTCAGCCAGAAAAGTCTGTTTTCATAGGTTTTGCCTTTGGATGTCAGTGGTGATGATGGTGATGGCATATTTATCAAACACTAGGTTTCCTCCCATTGTCGGGTATTTTGGCAGCCCAATTTCCAACTGCCCAAGGGCTTTCTTTGGCAGCTCGAGCAGGCTGGAAGTGCCAGAGAATTAACACCCTGGGAGCAGCCTTCCCCCAGTGACTGACCAGAGTTAACATGTAAATACCCCAGCTTCCTTGCTTTTCTGAGGGTGACTCTGAAGTGCATGTTCCTCACTAGTTCCTGGAGTTCCCCAGAGAGACTGGGCTCATGCACAGTGGTAACTGGCTGGATAACTTGCTCCTTACTGGCTTCCTTCCCTTTATTGTCTCACTTTCTCACTCTTACTGGTACTTTCTGGGATCAGATCCCAAATCAGGGTCTGCTTTTGGGGAAACCAGACAGTAAATCAGCATCTGCTCATTGCCAGTCACTGTTCCAAAAGCTTTATAGGTATTAACTCTTCAGTTCTTCAATCACCCTCTTAAATTTGTTTTTAAATTTTATTTTTCTTTGCAAATAAGAAAATTGAGACAAGGCAAGATTAGATATCTTACTCAGGTTCACAAAGCTAAACAGTTTTGGTGCCAGGACTCAAAGCAAAGGGCTCCAAATTGAAGAGACTTTGAAATGTGCTGATCCAGTTAGGTACTCTGCCCATTGGAAGAGAATCATAGCTTCCTTGTAGAAGTCCTTGGCAAAGCTCATTTTCTCTCATTTACTCCTGAATCCTCTCTTTGTGTTAAAGTGTTTTAGGTCTAGATACCCTTGGTCTCTTGTTTGAAGGCATCTCTTTATTAGAGTTGTTAGTTTTGTTTTTCACACACCAAACTCAGTTGTAGAAGCCAGCACAGGGGCAATGCAGCAGGGAGAATTGTGTGTCCTGATGTCTTGACTGAGTGACTCATTATTTCTCCTGGTTCCCTTGCCAGGGTCAGTCATTGTTCCTCCAAGGATGGTGGTACCAATAATAGAGATAGAAAGGTTGGGAGAAAGGAGAAGTCAGTTGGTCTGGAAAAGGGGGCTCATGGGGATGTCCTTACAAGATAAATTCTGATTTAGTCATGTTGCATTTGAAGAAATGGTGATACACACAGTTGGAAGTCTCCAGCATACAGTTAGAAAAGTAAATCTATAACTTGGAAGACCTGGCAATAAAGATGTGAGCATAGAGGCTGAAGTCATAAAAGAAGATGAGTTTGCAGAAAATGAAGGAGGCTCAAGTTTGGAATCTTAGGAAATGTCCATTTTTGATGTCAGGATGAGAAAGAGAGGTCATCAAAGGAAATCAAGAAGGAAGAGTCAGAGAAGTGGAAGAGTATAGATAGCACTAGGACTTGGACCCCAAGGATGGGGAGTTGTTCCAAGAAATAGTAGTGAACCAATAGGGCCAAACACTGAAGGGGTTGAGAAGAACAAGAACCACAGTTAAAGGGTGCTTAATATGTCTCAACATTTGAGGCCATAGACTACAATGCTGACATAGAAACTAAGAAGAGGAAGGATATGAAAAATGTGAAGTGATGTGTAAGTCATTGATATGGTGTGGCTGTGTCCTCACCTAAACCGCACCTTGAATAGCAACTCCTGCAATTCCCATGTGTCATGGGAGGAACCTGGCGGAGGTTATTGGATTATGGGAGCAGGTCTTTCCTGTGCTGTTCTTGTGATAGTGAATGAGTCTCACAAGATCCAGTGGTTTTAAAAATGGGAGTTTCCCTGCACAAGCTTCCTCTCTTTGCCTGCTGCCATCCTTGTAAGATGTGACTTGCTTCTCCTTGCCTTCTACTATGATTGTGAGGCCTCCCCAGCCACGTGGAACTATAAGTCCATTAAACGTTTGTGTTTTTTTTAATTGCCCAGTCTCCAGTATGTCTTTATCAGCAGTGTGAAAATGGACTAATACAGTCATGCAATTTAGTAAATTAATATTTTGTGTTTATAAAGGGCTATTCTAAAATCACCTCAACATGAGATTTACCACTCCCCAAACCTCCTCAACAGACTGTTTTTATGTGTAATAAGCACATAAGTGAGTGAAGTGATTAACCTCAACCTAAATTTTTCCTTCCTTCCTTCCTCTCTTTTTTCTTTCTTTCTTTCCTTTCTTTCTTTTTCTTTTCTGTTGTTATAGTTTTAAAGAATAGTCAACAATCCCTTAGGGAACAAGCACTCTAGGTAGTCACTAGAGAATTCTCACACCTGTATTAGCCATTTATAAAAGAATTAGACTATAGCAAATTCACTAAACATTGTAACTTTATAGAGGACAATATTTGATGATTAAAAAGACACTCCAGGATCTTGCAGTACGTCTGGGTCATTACACTGAATTTAATTATGAAGAAAGCAGGGAAAATAAATACCAAACAAGGAGTCCTGAAATCTGGGCTTTGGTCCCAGCTTTCATCAATTTAGTTCACAGTTCACCTTAGGGGGCCTCATCTTAGAGTGAGGAGTTGACTCTATTGGTGATTCCCAAATCAGTGCAGATCTTGATGAGGTTTTCATCTCCTTTGTAGGAAAGGGAGAGAAAGAGAGCAACAAAGAGAGAGAGAGAGGCAGACAAGGAAAGAAAGAGATTATGTAGTGAGTGATTTATAAAGTCGAATTTATTTTTAATTCTAAAACTTGTCATTTTTACTTTATTATGTTAAAATGTCCTTTCTTTTATACAATGGTAATAGCTATTAATTTGCAGTTAGATTACCAATATGCTTAATAGCAACATAAAAATATGGCAACCCCATGATATGGCTGAAAATCGTCTATAAATTTTTATTGGTCTATGGACCCATTGAACTAGACTCTACATTCTCAATTCTAGATTGTATGATAAGGTACAAATGTGTTAGTTTAAGATGTCTGACTTCTGCTTGAACCTCAGATGAGAGCAACAGAGCCACCCAGCAACACTGTGACCCTTCTGAACTCTTAGAGTCCAGAAGATTCTGCCACGCATGTTGGAGGCAACAGCAACATTCTGACAAGGAATTGCAAAGCAGAGCTCACACCCTAGGACACGGGAGTTCTGAATGCTAACAAACTGTGTGTCCTTATAGTGCAGAAAGAACAAGGATTTGTGTTAGATTCCTCTAATTATTTTAAAGGAAATTTCACCAGCTTAAAGATGCTGGAAATGAGACCTGCTCAGAACAGGCTGTAGGGATTGAACCCAGGAGTTAGCCATAGAACCACTACCCTAGAACCAGCATAAAAGTCATTTGTCTATATTTTTTCCTACTGAAATGTGGGTCTTGCCCTGGCACCTGAAATAAATGACACAAAACTGTCTTCATTTCCTTTCCCACTGTGTGGCCACCTATTTCAGCAGGAACTATTAAAACTGCAGTGAATCAGAGCAAATTGTTGCTGGCAGCAGCTTCAATAAATCTGTGCCACTGAATTACGGGAAGAATTAAAATGCAGAAATTAGAAGTCAAAAGCATTGAGTTTAGTGTGAGACTTACCTGATTAAGTATAGTTTCCTAAGCCACTAGATCTCAATTTCATAAAACCCAAGGGAAAACCTGAGTGGGGTGGAAGCTGACAATTCCACCTTCCAGAGGAAGTCATAAATTTCAACATGCCATAGCAACAGAACACATTTCTCATTAAAGATGCAAACATAATACAGCTCAGAACAAGCTCCCTAGGAAACAAACACGGGAAAGCAGTGTTGGTGTTCACCATTAACTTGCAACACATGAGATCTGCCCAGAATGTTTTGCTTATTGGGGCAGGAAATCATTTGCTGAAATCAGAAGCATTGTGTCTTTTTTTGTGAGTAAAGACCTCATAAAAAGTAGAATGAGAATAGAACTTTAAGAGAGGCAAGAATACAAAGAAACCTGAAGGGCAGGCATTGGAAACCAACGCAAAGGAGGACAGGGACAGATCTGCAAGAAATATCAAGGTGTGTTGTGCTGAGCACTTTTATAAGACATTCTGCTAAACATTCTAATCACCCAATCATTTAATCTTTAAAATACACCCAAAAGTAGGTATTTTCATAAAATGAAAACAGGCTTTCAGAGTTTCAATTATTTGCTCAGAATCATAAAAATGGTAAAGTTTTGCCCAGGACTCAAACCCTTGTGTTTCTAATGTCAAAGCTGTTGCTAAGCACAATGATTACAATATAAATTTACTGTTAAACAGAGGCTGAACTGCACACAAATGCAAATGAACTACTATCATGCTTGTGGCTTAATCTACTGCTTTCACAGCCCTTTCCAACTGGAGACTCCTGAAGATGAATCAGCTCAATGGATGACACCTTGCAAGATGATCTGCCTCCTGGGCTTCTGCAGGTGTGCCCAGCTTGCCTCTATCTCTGCTGTGCCTCAGAGGCTGCCCCAAACCCCCTGGGACAAAGCCCCTTCTTTGAGTCATTTAGTTTACAGAGCCTTTCACCAGAGTGGCATATTAACTTTAACCTTTTAATGTAATCCTCCAATCTTAAGATATAAAAAAGAAAATGAATGAGAAGGTGAAAAAGAAGAAGGAGTAGAGGCAGGAAAAAAAGACAAAGAAGAAGAAAGGAGGAGGAAGAAGAGGTAGAGGAGGAGGAGGAGGAGGAGGTGGTGGAGGTGGTGGCAGCAAGGACATTTGCATGTGTTCTGCTTCAGGAAGGTATCAGTAACTGGATCCTTGCCTATGTTAAGCAGTTGTGGTGTCTGTGGCTTTTATAAGAAAGCACTTATCATCAGAAAAAGAAAGATATTTTTTATGTACCTGTCCCCTCTCTATTGAAGAAAGGAATCTGAATCAAGGAGTTTTGGTATGGCTTCCAAGTTTTAAGGTATATAACAATTTAGTTGCTTATTATAAAGAGCTTGGAAACTAATGATAATTTTTTCTTTTTATTTTCTTTTTTTCTCAGACAGAGTCTTGCTCTGTCACCAGGCTGGAGCACAGTGGTGCAGTCTCAGCTCACTGCAACCTCTGCCTCCCGTGTTCAAGTGATTCTTCCACCTCAGCCTCCCGAGTAGGTGGGACTACAGGTGCATGCCACCACACCTGGCTACATTTTTTTCTTAACATAAAAAAATGACTTTCATAAAATGTGTATACCATCCTTCCTACTGGCACCAAATCAAAAGCAGGTGTAGTCTCAGGAGTTATTTCTTCCTGTTCACGGGCTTCCCTGGTGACAATACCTTCTTGCCTTATCACCAGTAAAAGAGCTTCACGATTTAAACACCTGAACAAAAAGCAGAGAAAAGTGGGATATTTTTCTTTTTGCTAATGAAAAAAAAAAATCTTCAGTCAGTTTATAGATAGTACTTGGGTATATGGTGAGATATTTTAAAAGACGGTAGCTAGCAGTCAGCTCCCTCAACTCTACAGTTCTTTTCATCATTCTCTTTTATACTTTCCTTAGGCAGAACCTGAGTCAATGCAAACTGAAGCCATGAGTGCAATTAACTGAGGAAATGCATTTTCAGCAAATGAATGATTCCTATAGTTAGGAGGTAAGGCTGAAATAGATATTGGAGAAGGATTCAGTGTTGTGTAGATTTTAATATATTGCTATTAACATGGGTGAAGGCTATCTTTATCAAGTGTGACCTCTTAGCTTCTGTGTCTCCAAGCATGGGAAGTCCTAGCTAGTTAAAGCTTAAGCCTGCCTCCCCTATGGATAGATGAACAAAGATTTATGAGGCTTTTAACCAGAGTGAAGGGGCCAGGGTCTTTGGACAGCAAATAGAGTGAAGCTAACTGGCCCTCCTAGAATTGAATCCATATCCTTGGCCTCATTGAGACCACTTGGGCAACTGGCCACCATGAATAATAAAGCATAGCAAATGAGATACTGAATTATATGAGTGTGGGCATTTTCATTAGCATTTTAAGACTATAGCAATATTACTGTTAAAACAGAAATAAGAGGCCATCTTATGTGAGGAAGTCCTCAAGACCAACACTTTGAGAACCTGCCAGAGCAGAAAATAAATACATGAATTTTATTTCAATAATCAGGCTTCAGATTTTTTCAGGCCTTTAAAATGATATATGTAAAGGTATAAAAGGGCTACAACAATAAAAATGAAACATTTCTGATTTGGCCCCCACTACAGGCTTTCCACCTGCTGTTGATATGGGCTGCACAGTGCCCCAACATTCAAATGCAGCAGGCTTTGAGGTCTGACTTTGAACCATCCCAAAGGTACTTCTCGACGGTCACCTAATTGAAGTCATAATAATGGCTAATAGCTTTCTCCAGGGGTTTAGAAACCTGGGAGCCTTTGTGTTTTTCTTTCAAAATGTAGTAACTACATTATCCTCTAAGACCTAAGGCCCAAGTCCTCTGGCTCTCTACTAAGAGTAACTGGTTTTGAGAGAGACTCAGTTTAAAATATATTTAAAATATAGGCTGTGTGGGAGCAAACCCAATGTGTATGGGATATGGGGGCATGGAGGTGGTGTATGAACCTGATTTTTCTACTTTTCTATTCAATATTAGCAAGGCAGTATAGTGGAGAAAGTACTGAAAAATATTGAACTTGGAGTCAAACCATCTCCTCGTACTTGGAGAAAGTACTGAAAAGTATTGAGACTGTTTTACTCCAAGTAAGAGGAGATTGTTTGACTCCTTTTACTAGATGTATGATTTAGACAAGTAACTTACTATTAGTTTATTCTCTGCCAGTCTTAATGGGTGAACTGCTAGCAAAACAGGTAAAAAAGCAGTGTCTGAACGACTATTTATCTATACCTATATGACTACAGGATCGTTTTTGGTGAATTTCTGGGAAATCTTACAGAATGGAAGAAGTGCCAGTAGATTTCTAATAGAGGTAAATGTTCACCTTCCCCAGTTCACAGGCTGAAATAACGGTCTGAGACTCTGTAAGCTGAGCTCCAAAACAATCTTAGATTTTGATAATTAAACAGCTTACTTTTGAGCACTCTAAAGGAACACAAAGACCATTAGGAATCCAAGTGGACACACTAATGGTGTTACAGAACTCGATTCTTACTTCTTTTTTGTGGTAGGGTTGTTTGACTGATAAAGGAGGTGGTGTCCCAGGTTACATACCTTTATTTCAGTAAAGTATGTGAAAAAGGGATTTGTAGTAGCCCAGTGAACAAGAAGAAATTTGGGCTGCAAAACAATATATTTATGTAGGTTATGTTTTAATTATAACTTTTGTTTTAGGTTCAAGGGTACATGTGCAGGTTTGTTACATGAGTAAACTGCATGTCATGGGGGTTTTTGTACAGATGATTTCATCACCCATGTAATAAGCATAGTACTCGAGGAATTTTTTTTTCTGACTTAGGTAAGTTCTTGACCATTAAGTAAGCATAATGAAAAGTATGAAAGTTTATCCAAGAGGGCCTCTATTACTATTCTAAAGATATGTCATATCACAAGTTAGTAATAATTAGCACCTTGCATGGCATACTCTAGATTAAAAAATATCTTAAAGGTTCACATATAGAGACACTAATACATGATTGTGTATTATAATTGGAAGGAATATTTTTTAAAGCTGTTACTCAAGCACTTGCACATGATCAAGACGGAGAGGAGCTGATTTTTGCAGTTCATGTGGGAGAAAAAAAATCTAGAAATTCTTGTTAACTGCAAACGCAGTGAGTATCATTGGTATTTCCCCAAAAGCCAATGCAATATTAGGCTACACATAAAGACTGTCCAAAACAAGGACAGAGAGTACAACAATTCAGGAAGAAGACAACCTGGAATGTTTATATGGCCATCAAAGATGACGTAGGCTCTGAAAACTATACTACAGGGAAAGCTGGGAGTAAGAAGAATCTGTAGCCAGGAGAAGAAAAGCGGATGGTGGGCCATAGAGACAAGCATGGCAGATGCCTTCTGAGAGGTAAAGGCCACATGTACAGATGGCTTGACTTGTTCTAGGCAGACTCCAGAAGAGGCACAGGGACCAAGCTGCAGCCTTTAGAAGGTAGCAGTTTGAGTACAATATAAGAAAAAAACCATTATTTTTCTTAGCATTTCTGATGTTCATCAGAAAATGTGGAACAGAAGTGCAGGAAATAGATCTTAAGGTAGAATCAAGAGATAGATGTCATCCACAAGGAGGCGGTATATGAAGGTGTGAAACAGCTTGGGTTTTCCAGTGTCTTCCACCAGCCTCAGCCTAGAATGACCACCTTCCCAATTGCATTTCCTCCTAAATCTACATCTCTCTCTGGTGCCTTTTGCCTTGAACAGTTTCTTGCCTTGGAGCTTCTCGGCCATCCAACAGAAGGGGGCACCCTGCACCGTTAGCCTACGGAAGGACCAAGCTGACAGCCCCCAACCATGGAAAAGGGCCTAAGGCTCAGTGGGATGTATGAGCCTTCCCGGATCTGGAAGAGAACCTCCTGGGACTACTCCCCTCTACTCCTTTAGAGTCCACAGGGCTGGAACTCTAAAATGCAGAATAAGGTTAGGAGTCAATGTAAAAGAAGGATTGTGATGCCACCTGACTTTCATATTGAGGATCGAACAGGAGCCCCCAGAGGGGTACAGAAATAAATTACAGCAACCCTGGACAATCCAGGGGTTTGGTAAAGTGTACTTACCGATTTTGAAGGGGGAAGGGGTTGTCTTAAGGTGTAGAAAGGACTATCTAGGGAGTTGCAAACTTTGTTATGAGTGGACAGTCACCCTCCCTGCTCACTGCACCGTTTTCTCCTTGCTCAAAAAGGCACCTGGGTCTGAGCAAGGCATTCGAGTTCAGAGATCTCTCTCTCTCTCTCTCTCTCTCTCTCTCTCTCTCTCTCTGTTCTCTCTCTCTCTCTCTCTCTCTCTCACACACAGACACACACACACACACACACACAAACTGGGCAAAGCCAGAGGGCTGGTACCCAGTCTGGGCGCGCTGGAGCTAAGTAACTGGCCTTTGTTTGTGAATCGGAGCAGTTTGGGGGACATCCTCCGGTCGCCGCGGGGTGCGCGCCTCCGCTGAGTGTGCGGTGCGGTACCCAGCGGTGCGGGGGAGGCTCCACCGCGCCAGCCCAGAGCCCCCGCGCCGCCCCCGCCCGCTCGACGCGCCTGGCGTTGCGCTCTCCACGGAGCGGGCGGCCGCAGCGCACTTGGCTAGGGCTAGAGGCGAGAGGGGTGGGCGGGCGGCTCGGCTGGCGTTGGCGCTCTGCAGTGCAGTGGAGTGTTAGCCCATCTCCCTATATGGTCGGGGATTAGCTAGGCGCTGCTGAGGCTGAGCCAGGAGCCGGAGGAGGAGGAGGACGAAGAGGAGGAGGAGGAGAAAGAGCGCAGCAGCAGTCAGCGCACGCGGAGCTGCTGCCGAGGGAAGCAGAGGCGCCGGAGGCTGGGGCACCGCCGACGCCTCGGGAGCCATGGCCGAAGGGGGAGAAGGAGGCGAGGACGAGATCCAGTTTCTGAGGACTGTGAGTCTCCGCGGCGGGGGCGAGCCCGTGGGCAGGTGGGGAGGAGCGCGGAGCGCGGCGAGGAGGGGCTGGCTGCGCTGCGCCGCGGTGCGGGGTGCCCGGTGACCGGTGCCGGGCGCTTTCTCCGCACCCGCGGGCTGCAGAGGCGGACCGGCCACCTACCGGAGGG